CTTGGACCAGACCCGACGGGCAGGCCCAAACGACATTACCGTTTGGGCCTGGCGGCGCTCTTGAGGCTGCCGCCCGCCGGTTGGGGCTGAACCGTCCATCTGGACGGTTTAGGGCACAGCCAGGCCTCGCACCAGTGAGGCCGGCCTCTGCCCACCGGTATAAAGGACCGGTCCGGCCTCACTCAGGGGATCGACCCACCGGTATACTACGGTGCGGTAAGGTCGGCACCAGAGTGCCGTTGGAGCGCTATGTTTAGCGCAGGAGCGAGGAGCAGGCAGCGCAGCGATTAGCGCAGCAGCAGCAGCGGCGACTGGGTTACCGGCGGCCATAGCCGCCTGAGGTACCGGGAGTTGGAGGTTTCTCTCCTCCCTCCCATCGCCAGTCCCCTCTCCCTCCCTCTCCTCCTCGGCTCCCTCCTTCTTCTTCTTCTTCTTCTTCTTCTTCTTCTTCTTCAGATTGGATACTTATACTAGTTGGACAGAGATCAGAGTTGGATTTCGGTGATAGAAACTGTGGTACTTACCTGCTGGAGACTTGGAGATTGTTGGGGTTGATACTCGGCTCCATCACAGTTCGGACACTGGTTACATTTGGACTCTGTAYCTCCGACATTGGTGACCTATTGTCCTCGACATTTTGATCTCGTTGGATGACATTTTGGACTACCATATCGGTGACCTATCAGATTCTATTTCGGTGACTTTCAGTGCTGTCTACCTGCCCCACCTCCTTCGTCTCTCCTCCCCCATTCATCTGTGTATGTTGTGTACGGGGCTGAGCACCTTCTTTGTATGGCTCAGACCCCACCATCTCACGATTGTATGTGTGTGGAGTAATGCTATGTGAGTCAGTCTATGTGAGTCAGTCCGTTTATCAGACTTCCGTTGCATCTATACTCATCCTACATTGGTTGATTCTTGGTTCTGCCCATACTCATTGGAGTATGTAACAGGTAGATACTGGTCCAGTAGGCCTGTGTCCTCTTCCTGTTTTCTTTTTTTTTGAATTGGAGGGCTGGGTTACTATCGGAGGTGGTATGAGCATACCCCAGTCGTAGCCCGCCCTTGACTCCTGTCTATTTGTGGTGAGCAGCACCTTCTGGAAACCATGTCCAGTGTCCCATTAAATAAGCTTCAAAACACAGTCTTCACAGAGCTTACAGAGCTATGCACTTGGCAGCATTGGTTGCCCTGTCCCCAGTTGGCTGCCAGCGCCTCAGAGAGAGTGCCTGTGCCTAAGGAGAGCCTGTTCAACCCCTCTAGGCTGCCTAATGCGATCTTGCCTTTGCTAGCCTTCTGTCACTGCCAGTTCTGAACTGTCGTCTTGCTGACCTTCTGAGCAACACAGCGACCTACGGATCTATGCTGGCCTACAACAGCCTCAAAGAACAGTCTTTACAGTAGAGCCTGCAAAGGGTATATATCAGACTGCAATTATGTTCCCACCAATTGTTATGATCCTGGATATCTCTCAGTGCAGAACTCAAAGAAGGGCAATGCGGCCAATGCCATTCAATTGCAACTGAAATGAAAGAGATTGAAAAGAGAAGTATGGAAGAAGACGAAGAAGATGAACACAAGCAAGAACCGGTGCCACTCCGCCATCATCTTGTGTCTGTCCCAACATCTTATTGATAATAAGTATTAATAACAACAGCAAGAATGAATGAACGAACCCGAATCAATGTCTGGATCCTCCCCTCACTGCTGGCCACTCAAGACATCCACCATATCCAACCTACACCTCCTTCTATGTCTAGGTCGAGCGGGGGGGTATGGCGGGCTATTGGAGCCCAGCTCCGCTGTTCAAAGGACAACGCAAGGCTACTATGCCTCTCCCATTATCGCGGCCATGGCATGGTCCACCCCCGGAGTCTTTCTCTGATGTACACAACCCCACTAGGGGCCTTCCAAGTGCAGCGTCAACCAAGAAGATGGAAGATGAATTCCACCATAGCGAAGGTAAGCTCCCTCCTTTGATTTCCTCCTCTTTGTTCGTCCTCCTCTCCCTTCTCTCGGTCCTCGCTCCTCGGCCATAGCCATGTCTTCCTCCACCTCCACCTTGGACTTCCCCACCATAGCCAAGGTGGGAGCCAAGCTCCGCCTTCTTCCTCCACCCATCGCCTCACCAGCTTGGTGAGCGCTCCAGCAGCCTCATGGCTTGCAACTGAAGGAATGAGGTGGAGTGCAGCGCTGCCCCTTTACTGATTCTGCAGCTGCACTCCACTGCGGGCACTTTCCCAGGTACTCGGCCTCTCGTCCTACCGATTGCTGGTCCTCATTTTGGTGGGAACATCATTGCAGTATGATATCTCCCCTTTGCAGGCTCTAGACTCAGATGCAGTGGATAGGTACCTACTCCTAAGCCTACTGGATTCTCTAGCTTGGCCTACCCAAAGGTAGTACCTTTTTGTCCTTTTCTGCTACCTACCCGCTAATCCTTGAAGAAACCAATTAAATAAGCTATATTTTTGTATTTTTTGTTAGTGTTGCACACCTGGACGGTCGGCGGCCCTTGACTGCTCGGCTGCCGACCAGCCGACCGGTCAGCTGGTCGGAACCTGCCGGTCGGAGGTCGTCGGCACCTCGGACGAAAATCCCTTCCTTATTACTAAAGGAAACAACGGTCCTCGCGTGGGGCCCAACAAAAACTGGGCGGCGCCGTGCGGGACCGGTGGTGGGCAGCGGGTAAGGGGGAACCGATGGGACCCGGGGAGAGGGGCAGAAAAATACCCGGTGCGTGCGGGCAGAAGAGGACCCGATCAGAGAGAGAGAGAGAGTACTTCCATCGATTGGTTGAGCAACGTACCGGCCAACAGGTAACCCCGCGGCTGGCCTCACGCGACTTCCATTGATACGATGAGCAAAATCGATTGAATCTACCGCAAGAAGATCGAAATATACACTACTACACGTGTGTGTGTGTGTGTGTGTGTGTGTGTGTGAGAGAGAGAGAGAGAGAGAGAGAGAGAGAGAGAGAGAGAGAGAGAGAGAGAG